TTCCACCCTGGGGACATTCAGGATGTCAAATTCTCTACCTGCGTGCACTTCACTAAGTTAAATTCCAATCCATTGGTTCCCCCCCCCGCCCCTTCCCAGGGCGAACTATTGATAGGAGCACTGGTCATTTCTGTCGCTCAACCATTTCTGTGCCATGCTGATATTTACTGAGGTTTTGAGGATTCTTACTGACCGAGAACCCGGAAGAACGGATTATTTGTTTTATTTCTAGACGGAATCAGTTTTAACATTTTATTCTTTAACGCGGATCGTATTATTTTGCGTCCAGTTAGCGATATTAGGAGCTATACTACCTACTGAAAAGTAATGTATTTAGAAATTCTGTAACTAATAGGCTATTTTTGTTTTAAGGGGAGTTATAAAGCGTCAAGTCAACCTGGAATTACACTCTCCCGGATGTAAACTAACAAAGAATAATAATATTAGTGGTAACAACAGTAATTTGACATGGTGTTTTGAGGATCCGGTATTTAAAGCTGATGAAGCACAGGTATTTCTTTCGGGCTGATAAATAAATGAGCTTTGTTGAAAAGACCAGTGCTAAACGTGACTCGACTTTCGAAAACAAGCTGGGCAGATAATTAAAATTACTGGCGGAAATTTCATAAGAGAAAATGCGTTTTCGTTGAGAGAAAAGGGCACATCCTGTTTTCTTCATTACGGACCCAGTGGTATATCAAGAAGCAGATTTGTGATTTCTGCGAATTCTTGTGAAACTTACTTGACTCTGTTAATTAAAATAACTCTCTGTGAAATTCAAAAGGATTAAACTATTTCTGATGAGTTTTTTTGTCATTTTCAGGCTTGGAAGTGGTGCCTTGTGCCTCTTTTAATCTACATAATGGAGCGACTCACTCGGACTTTCAGGAGCTTGCAAAACGTGGATCTTCTTCAGGTGATAAAAACAGAACGTCTCCTGCCACTTTTGGGTCGCGCGTTTAAAATGACATTCTCCCTCGTTTAACTAATCTTGTAACAAAATCTGTTTGTTTGTTTGTTAATTATCTCTTAAAACTTGTTATAGGTTTTTCAACATACGGATGGAGTCGTGGAAGTAAAGATGAGCAAACGTAATTTTAGTGCTGCTGCGGGACAGGTAATGTCACCATCTATCCAGGTGGTCTTCCTTGTCAGATATCTAGAATATATAGATTTTATAAAAAAAATTATTGACGAGAATCATTTATCACTTAAAATAATACAGTTAAAAATGAACTCTGATTTTATTTCACGTTGTTTTATTTTAGTATGTCTTCATTAAATGTTCAGATGTGTCTGCATTCGAGTGGCACCCGTTTACCCTGACTAAGGTGAGTAAATCAGCTGCTGTCGCTTTCATTTTTATTGGAAACAATCAACTGCTGGACGATCATAGGATGGTGGTCTTGTTTGTGACCTTCCTGTTTCAGGCTCTGTATAAAACTAATCAAACATCTTCGTCAATTCTAGAGTTGTAACCGTTTTAGGTAAAGAGAACTACGACTGCCAAAGAAAACGTTAATCTTTTGCAACGGAACCTGAACAACCAATCTTGACTTATAAAAGTAATCCATTTAAAGGACCGTTCTGGCCTTGCACAAACCACTGCCGTTTAACTAATGCGTTGTGGTGCAGGTAGTCTTTAATTTTTATTCTTTTTACAGTTTATCTTTCTTGTAAAAGGCTTGTACACATTACAGTGAGCAAAGTGTTGGGTACACTGATTCAACGTACCTCACTCAGTTACGTCGTATTTCTCACTACAGTGTCCTGTGTCGGATGATCCCTCATTTTCCATTCACTGCAAGACTCTGGGAAATTGGACTGGTAAGTAAAAAAGCAAAGCGACTAAAAACAAACAAAAAACATGAAATTTTAAATAATAGATTGATACCTAATGACCCAGGAAGTCTCACGGCTAATTATTCATCGTAATTTTCCTAGAGAAATTTACGGACTTATTGCTTCAAGCGTCAGCAGAAGAAGATAAGAAAAGCTTCAATTGTGGAATAGAAAATGGAAAATCCTTTTCTAATCTGACATCCCAGATAAAGTAGGTAGAGTGCAGCTTTCAAGTTAAACCCTTATGGTTATAATGCAAATCAACTCAGAACTAGCTAAGCAACATGGAGGGGGACATGAGGGTTTACGATATTGCGGTATTGAGCTGTTTTTCAAGCGGTATTTCATCCTTCATCCCTTTGTTAACGGTATTCGGTAAGAGAAGATCCTTCACGGTGTTGCAGGCGGTACCATTTATTTGCACTCTCCTCTCTAATACAGCGGGTTAATAAAATATGCAGCACGAACCACAGGTTAATAAAAGTTAAAGACTTTAGACTTAATGGTAATAACTGGGCTTTTCAATCATTGAACTGATCAATTCAAGGTCTTCTCATGTTTTCTCGCAATGTTTGAGGTTGATTTCTGGTGCATACATGCTTGACGTGGCAAACACGTAGAGAACGTGAGCAATCATATCTGCGGTATCGGTATTTCGTCGAATTTCTGTATTTCCCAATTTTTCTTACGGTATTGCGGTATCAGGTACCCCCAATGCCCCCCTCAACATGCAGCCGATCAAAACACTCAAAACCTCTCACGTACAGGTAATTCAGTATTCTTTATGATAAATAACACATTTGGTTGCCTGAATGGACGAAATATGTTAAGAAAAGCAATGGCTGCAATGGAACTTTTGAAAATGGCCCAGGGGTTCGTGTCTGCGTATATCAGTCGTTCCCTTTGCTAATGCAACTTATAAAGATTTTGCAATATAACAGCCTATGTCAGGCTATGTCACCCAACACGCATGCGCGAGCCAATGAAAACAAACTTGAAAAAGACAGCCCAACTTTTTCAAGTTGTGTCGGAGATTTTGGAAGGCTGTTTTTATCTGTCTAAATCTCAGCCATCGTTCGATAGTTAGCGAAGTTTTGTATTAAGAATCATTCTATGGTGATTACAGAACAATTTTTTGGCGTTATTTTAAAATTGTTTGCCTGTGGAATGTTTTACGTGGATTTACTGTGTCCTCTTATCAGCGGCCGTTGTAATGGCAGAGTTAATGACGGCTACTCCACAATGAGTGATGGAATCTTTGATGGAATCTTCCCTATAGTTCACAGGACCTTTCTATTGAGTTATTTTAGAGGCTGCTGGCTCTTGGATTTTTCTTGTGCTCAAAGTATGTGGACATATAATGAAGCGGCTATCGAGTTGGCGGCGGCCGTCTTTTGTAAACGATTACAAGAGCATCAGGCCATGAGTTTCGTGACGAAACTAAACTCCTGGCGAAGGAAACATTCTAAAATTCGGCTAGATTCCTTCTTGTATTTATCTCGATTCACGGCAAAGATAAACACGACCGTTTGCTCGTCCAGATTGTTCTCAACGGACTTAGAGAGGCACCTTAGTACGAGTTAGATCCTGTAAATGCCATGTTTTTGAACTGTTTGTGTTGGAGCATAATTTTGGAAAATAGCAGAGTTTGCTTTCCCTTTTTATCAACGGACTGCTTATAGTGGAGTAGTATACCAATGATGCTGGGTTTTTCTCGACGTCGCAGTGATTCGGCACGATCGAACAATTTTGCGCGATAATGTATGTTTCCCTAAGATCAAAACAAAGACTTGGTCTCTTGTTCTATCAGCATCTAAATTATAAAATCAATAGCGACAGACAAGTCTAATTGTTAATGATTTGAAACAGTCTTGGTCTTTATCTTCGGTCTAGCGTCTTTTGTAGCTCGTTTGTAAAATACAACTTCCATTTATTTTGTTGAATAAGACAATATTTTGTTGTTGAATTTTTGTTTGCGCTCTATTTTATGAATGGCATGCGTTTTTTCTTCAAAACTGCAAGTAAAATTGTCGTCGCAATTTTATTCTTGATCTAGCATAACCAGAGAAGAAACGTTCCATAAATTCTATCGAAATATCCCTTATCTAAACCCATTTCGCTAAACCTCTCTAAATTCGGAACCTTGGACGTGACAGATATCATGAAGAAAGTCACGCGTTAAAAACAATAGAATTTTGACAGTTGAAAGTAATTTGCATAACCTCACAGCGCACATGGAGAAAGTCACGCGTTAAAAACAATAGAATTTTGACAGTTGAAAGTAATTTGCATAACCTCAGAGCGCATGCTCTCCAGCTGACATAGCCCCTTTAACTTGCTCTTGAAAACTTTTTAGCCTATCAGCAGTGTATCAGCTTAGTACCTTAAACGGAACTTACTGAACTGTTTCCCTCCCGCCTGTCGCCATTTAGAGTAGCGTTCTCCTTCAAACCAAACAAGGAAACAGAACAAAATCTCTTTATAGATCTAACAGCAATATGCTCTTGTTCTTGAAAACTTTTTAGCCTATCAGCAGTGTATCAGCTTAGTACCTTAAACGGAACTTACTGAACTGTTTTCCTCCCACCTGTCGCCATTTAGAGTAGCGTTCTCCTTTAAAACAAACAAAGAAACAAAACAAAATCTCTTTATAGATCTAACAGCAATATGTAATAATTTGAAAAGTTTATCTTTTTTCTTCTTCATATGGAACAAAAGAATAGCCATTGATGGCCCTTACGGAAGCCCATGCATGGTAAGGTTACAGTACGGGACTAACGAGCTAAATTTTCTAGATCAACTTTTTTTTCCCTGTTAACCTTTTCAATGGTATTGTTATTAATGATATTTCTGACCATCTACCGGTTTTTGTTTATGAAGTGGATGAGACAGAAATAGCGTCGAAAAATAGCCAAACTAAATATCTCACTAAAAGAGATTTTTCAGAAAGAAATAAGAGCAATTTTCGGCTCTCTCTTTCTCGTGTTAATTGGAATTTACGTTTCGATGAAAGCGATACTAATGAATGTTATAATAGTTTTGTGAGTGAGTATGTTCGATTATACAATGAAAGCTTTCCATTAAAAACGATAAAACTTAAAACAAAGAAAGTAATGCGCTCCCCTTGGATAACGCAATCTCTGCTTGTTTCTATCAGGAAAAAAGATAAACTCTATAAGCAGTTCATTAATTCTAGGGACTCAACTACTGAGTTAAAATACAAACGCTATCGGAACAAACTGAATCATCTTATAAAAATTGCTAAACGAAAGTACTATGATACAAAATTTGAGAAGGCTAAAAATAACCTGAAAGAAACTTGGAAACTAATCAATGATGTAATCAACAAACCGAGCAGAAAAGCAGCTCTGCCAAATTCCTTTTTCTCTGATGGAAAACTGTTAAATGATCCACAAGAAATAGCTAACTGCTTTTGTAAGTTCTTCACCAACATAGGTCCGAATTTAGCAAGGAAAATTCCAGACACACAAGTATCTTTTCGTAGTTTTCTTGGCGCTTCTGTTAATGAGTCGCTTATCTTAAATCCAACTAATATTTCGGAACTAAATCAAATATGCAACTCTTTTAAATCTGGAAAGTCGCCTGGATATGATAACGTTTCAATGGATATAATAAAAGCACCTTTGATCTCATTTCTCAGCCTTTGGCCAATGTAATCAATTTGTCTCTTATTAAAGGAGTATTTCCTGATGAACTGAAAATTGCTAAACTGATTCCGGTATTTAAAGCTGGTGATTCCCAGTATTTCACTAACTACCGTCCAATTTCGCTTCTTTCTAATTTTTCTAAATTCTTTGAAAGAGTTATGCACAATCGTATTACAAATTTTTTAGATCGTTTAGATATCTTATACTGTTGCCAATTTGGATTTCGTAAAAAATATTCTACAGCGCTGTCTTTAATTCATCTTATTAATAAAATTGCAACTGCTATTGACAGAAGCGAATATACAGTTGGCATATTCTTAGACTTATCAAAAGCATTTGATACTTTAGACCATCAAATACTCTTGTCTAAGCTTGAGCATTATGGGATTCATGGGCTAGCACTTAGCTGGTTGAAAAGCTATTTGTCAAATCGCGTGCAGTTCGTCCAGTACAAAGAGACTTGTTCTATTAGGCTGACTCTGAGCTGTGGAGTCCCTCAAGGTTCTATATTAGGACCATTATTGTTCGTTTTGTATATCAATGACCTCCCTTGTGCTACTCGTCTTGCTGAAACTATGCTTTTTGCAGATGATACTAGTGTGTTTTATTCTAATCCCGATTTAAATTGTGCTATTTCTGCCGTAAATAATGATTTATCTCAAATTGATCTTTTTTATGAAAGCAAATAAGCTCTCTGTTAACATAACGAAAACTAATTATATCATTTTTTGCAGCAAGGCAAAAACCAGTCGGCTTCCCAATAAATCCTGTCTTGTACGATGAGGTTTTATTAAAGCAAGTAAAGGTAGTTAAATTTTTAGGGTTTTTATCGACGAGCATCTAACGTGGAAGCCGCATATTACTTATATATGTAAGAAAATTTCAAAATCTATTGGCGTCATGTTTAGGTCTCGTTTCTTTCTTTCTGAAACAACAAAAAGTCTCTTTATTATACCTTAATTTATCCTTATTTAACATATTGTACCACAGTTTGGTCCTCCACTTATGTAACAAACCTTAATAGAATTTTTCTTCTACAAAAGCGAGCAGTACGAATTATTACAAATGCAGATTTTCGCGCGCACTCTGAACCATTATTTTTCCGTTTAAAGATTTTGGACATATACAACATTAATTCATTCTATACTGCACAATTTATGTTTTCATATTATCATCAATTACTGCCACCGCTTTTTTTCGAACCTTTTTGTTACTAGTAGCAATATTCATAATTATAATACTAGAAGTTCCTCGCATTTCCGTTCTCATGCCTGCCGAACTAACACCAAACAATTTTCTATTTTGTTCCAAGGCCCTAAAATTTGGAATTCTTTACCAAACTCAGTCACTTCGATTTTTACATTGCAATCGTTTAAAACGAAAGTTTTTGATTTTCTACTATATCGATAATGCGTCTTGTACTGTCCGTTGTTGTGTGTTGTTATAGTTCTATTGCTTAATATTATTGTAACGAGGGGGCCTCCTCGTACAAGCCTTGTGGTTTTCTGAGGTCCCCTCGCCACATCTTTGTATAATGTAATGCTTGTGTAATCTTTATTGTGGGAAAATAATAAATAAATAAATAAATAAATAAACCTATTTGCCTCTGGGAATTTTGCCGAAAAAACGCGTTTTGAAGCTAGTTGGGTGTTTTTTTTGGTCGTGTTGCTGTAAAAAGCTAAAACGTACCACAAAGCTGTTTACAGGTCGTACACTTCTCGGCCGTCTGATCCAGGTGCAAAATATTAGCTTGGGAAGTCCGGGCATGCGCAGAAAACAAATTTTCTTTTTCGGGTTTTAACAAAAAAAAAACACAGCGGTCTTGACTATTTATTTTCGCCTTCTCTCCTCCCCTCTTCTTTCGCTTTTTTTGCCTCATTATTTTTTTCTTTCGCTGGGCATTTAGTGGCTTCAATTTGGTATGAAAAGTTTTCGAGAAAGCTCTTAGAATCTTAGGATCAGATGAAAGGAAAGGTAGGTGGGTATTGGAACAAGATTTTCATGGAAATTTTAGGGCTCCTGTTTCGGGTCAATGTTACATGGTTTTTCTGCCTTTCTGTCCGGCCTCCTTGACTGAATCATGCTCATTACATTCTGGCGTGGTTTGAAAGATCTCTTAAGTTAGCGGACAAAATTGTCCTTGACCGTTAAAAATGATGACGCTACCAGCCGTAGAAGGGACGTAGATCCGCACGGGCGGTTACGGGCGGCTCGGGGACGAAAGGGTATAAACTATTACTTTGACTTTCCTTTAATGCACTAGGGCATGCGGGTAGGGACACACCGTCAATAGACTCAATATGGAGAATGCGTGGTTCTCTGAGTTCGAAGAGGTCCTTACTCGATCGCTCTCGGCCTGGGGGTTATTTCAGTGATGCCCCTTAAAATGGCGAAATTGCTAGTATGGATCATTGATTTGTCTTCTAAACGCGTGCAACCATTTGTAGGATATTTGGAGTTATGATATCAGCGTGTGTATAGCGACAGGGATTGGTGTTACTCCGTTTGCTGCTATCATCAATGAACTCAGGTAAGATGTAGAAAGGTTCTCTCAGAGGTCGAGGCAGGTATGTCCCTAGTTTGAATTTCAAAACCCTCGCTTTGTTTCGCCTATTGAGTAGAGGAATTTTAACCTAAGAAATAAATAAATAAAATACCCTTAATAAATAATGTGATAAGTGGTAAGTATAGTCTGCAAATACAGCCATTTTTTTTCCCGCCCCGCGTAAACTCGTCCCTAGCGGCGAGGAGCGAGGAGAGATGGCTGTATTGGCAAGCGGCTATGATCCTAAGGCTTTTTAAGTTTTAAAGTGATTATTTCTGTTCATGCAGCGTTTTATTTGGTCGTTGTCTATGATGCACTTAACAAATAGATCATGCTTCCGTACGTCTGTTCATTTAAATATATCACATATGATGTTAAAAAGTGGTAAGAACAAAAAAGTGCGAGTGCGTCACTGATGACAAATATTATTGTTAAGTTGTTTTGTTCTTGGTCTTCAGAACATTAACATCTGCTGGTGGACGGCATATCAAGCTAAAGCGATTGTATTTTTTGTGGGTGTGAAAACATATTGAGTCCTTCCAGTGGTTTGTGGACCTTTTGCATTCCCTTCATGACGAGGTGAGATTTCATTGGCCATCCATGGGAGACATATATGTTATTCACCAGCTATTTTAGTAGGTTCGTATTGGGGGAAACTGTGCCCGAGGTCTTGAGTACCGCCCGAGGGCACAGTTTCTCCCAATACGGACTGACCTAGGCCGGTGAATAACATTTTTATTTTTTTCAAACTGAGGTTTAAAAGTTTCAGCAAAATTTTGCTTCAGCCTCTAACCTATGTGTGTTGAAGTAGGACACATTCGAGTTGATGAAGCGTCCGATTGATTGCAAACCAAAACAAAACATTACAACATGATTAATATTTTTATCTTGTAATTTATATAATTTATCACAACTAAGCTCTCTTCTAGAATATAAAGGTTTTTGTGTCTTGGTAGATAATTCATAATATGAGTGTCAACAAGAATTGACGAACTTGATATTAGATGCCACAGGAAAAAAAAATACTGCAAAGAATTTCTTGGGCTGAGTAATTACCTTTTTAACAAGGGTTTATAAAAAGGGCTAATTACACATACCAATCTTAAAGATTTGAATTGAATTCGACTCAAAAAAGGCGATGTGGGTAACAAGTATAAAAACAAAGAAATGAAAATGGCGATAACCGACTGCTGGAATTGTGATTGGTGTTGTGCATTCAAGTCTGATTAAAAGCTAATTAAATCGGGAACATTGACAACAACCTTTTCTGAAAGGTAGAAAACTAGCAAGGCAAAATTCAATGAAAAACGGCAGAATCTAGATTCAGACAGCAAAAAGGGAAAACAAAACTACAAACAGAGCAAAAGTGTCGAATAAACGGTGCATAAAAGCAAGATTGCAGTATTTACAGCGTAGGTTATAAATCTAGTGAAGCGACATCACGAGCCGCCTGTTTTGCTTTACTTCAGCGGTGTTCCTGCGGTGAGTGGGTGACTTGCTTGATTCTTCCTTCAGATTTCTTGTCTGACTTATAAAATTCACTTTTTCCTAGCTAATGCTTATAACAGAGCAAGTTTTAAAAGAGAAATGGTTTAACAATCACGGGTTTTGCTCATTCACAAACAACAAACAAACTTGTGAATGAAGCTGCCAACGATTCCGACCGGGTTAGCCGGCAAGATCGTGAAAAACCGCCCGCTCTCGGAACCAATCAGATTGCAGGATTTGGAGGATTCCGCCTGCTCGCAAGCTTAGAAAAAAATAAAAAGATTTCTTTAAGTTTAAAGAAATGAGACTTTACCTATATCATCAACCTAAAGAGAAGAAAACTACAACAAAATAAATGGCTTGCGTATGCTTCATGCGGCAATCATAGATCGTCATAAGTAAGTGGACTATGATCGATTCCGGGTGGGTATATTAGTGAAAACAACTGCTGTGGAAAGTTTCTGACGTTTGGATAACCTGTGCATGCGCAGTACTCATCTTAGGAGTCAGAAAAGGTTGCATCTCTTACCAACCACTTCATCTCTGCTGGTCGATCACTAGCATTGGTGTCAGCCGTAGTTTGACCGTTATTGCAACCTTGTGTCGGTTAATTGGTCAAAAACACGTGAGGACTGATCAAATATAAATGGAGAAACTCATTATTAAAAACGCGGAATGTTGAATAAGGTCTCGGAGCGATATACTGGAAGAGATAAACTTACCGACGCCGAATGATAGGCAGACGATGTATTGAATATGATGATGTCACGTGGTCCTACTCGCAACCAAGAGCCATAATGGGACTTATTTCGATTGCATCGTTGACGTTACATCGTTGATTAACCATCACTTAAGTATATAAGGCAAACCACTGGAGCCTTCTCGTCATCTTCGTAGTTTATTGTAGTTGCATACTATTGAATAACTGAGGGTTCCTTCGTTATCTTGTTTTACCACGTTCTTAATCACGTGGTCAAAATTGACGTTTGTCGGTTTGCCCGGCGTAAACGTCTGATTCTATATTAAGATGCCTAGACGGCGACGCCAGGGAAAACGTTGCTTGAACTTGAAATTGAATTCACGTTCTTTCAATATTAATGGAGATTATTCCGACTCACTTATTTGGTCAAACGTAAGCCAACTCTCCTGGAGTTGAATTCCTAAGAGCCTTATCCAAGTTCAGGAAGAGCAAGAAAATTTCGTTGTTGCTTGTCTACGTCCTCCATAAAACGTGAAATTACTCATTTTCTAAATGTCTTCATAGTCGTTCAGTGACGGCAAGGAAATGTAGCGTGATACACGTGCAAAATTGTTTTGCTTATCAAACCTGTTGCTTTTTTGGGGACGGACTATTAGAAAAGTTATGGGAAGGGGGGGGGGGGGTAGGGGGGGAATTTTCAAGCCGCAGAAATTTTTTTCGTTATCAACTTCCTTGTATGAATTTCTTTTAGGCCATAGCATGAATATTTTTTAGGGTTAATTGGCGTGCATAAATTTGTTTTTCATTTAATTTTCCCTTGCGCGAAGATGTTTTTTGTACTTCGCCCCTCCCCCCCTTCATAAGTTTTCTAATGATCCTTCCCTTTGATGTTCGCGTTGCCGTCGCTGTCATCGGATCTTCCACTACCCGCCATCATCGTGTGCAATCGCCGAGAGAGGACAGCCAAAAAAAAAGATTCGTGCGTTTTGTGAATAGTCAAGTATGTGTGCTGTATTCTCTTATTTGCAGCTGTGGGAAAGTAACCGACCAGATTTCCTCATATGCAACTTTTACGTTACTTGCTCCGGATCACAGTCGAATGATCAGGTAATGAATGAGGTGGCATTGGGGATTTGATGTTTACTTGGCTGTTTCAAAACAGAGTTTTACTTAAATCGAAAGAGGTTTAGTTTTATGAGCAGAAACTAAAACCAAAACAGTCGTATTCTTGGATTTTTGGGGGGTTCTGTAGTTGCCAAATGGTTTCCTTGCAGCTAAACGGTAACACGGGACAAAACACCTGGCTGAAGGGAAGCATGAGATGGCACCGCGGCTGACTCCTCCCGAGTCGACTCTTTTTGAATCGCAAAAATGAACTCAACAGATCAAACCCATGGCCTCATCTGTTCACATCATCATTCTCTGTTTCATTTCTTTCACGGGTTAAAGGGACAGGCTCACGGTTCAGGGCATGCTTATTTATCAAAATGCTGTTTTTCTGTCAGGACACGCTGTATCGTTTATGCAAGCAATATGATCATCTCGTCATGAAAGCTGCGCAATATAAATTCTTAATTCTCTGATCATGTCATAATGTTATCAAAGAACCAATCTGCACACTCACCAGCCAATCACTTGCACTTGATCAACTTAAATATTTGCAAATAGCTGTAAATTAATCAAACATGGAAATTAAAAACCTTCGGGTCAACATTAAATTCAAAGTTGGTACTGTGGGCATAATCCACTAATTTTTCTGCGATTTTAATAATGATAATAATAATGAACTTTATTAAAGTCTCAGGTCTTATAGCTCAGGCACAGTGACTTACTAATTGGGGAGACTCCTCCTTCCTACTTCAGGTTACTCTGAATTACCTTTCTACTTTGAAATACACTCTGAGATCGCTGAGATACATGTGAGTGGGATTATTAACCGATAGAATTAATAATAAATTGGAAAAAAGTATTCTAATTAATGAGCATGCGCTTTACCGTGAACCTGTACCTTTAAGATGAACTCAACAAATTGCCCTACTCCCAATGTACGGGTTTTCATAGCTCCACTGGTTAGAGCACTGCAGCGCTAACGAGCAGAGGCTTCAGGTTCGAATCCAGTTGAAGTCCCGAAATTTTTTTCGAGTTAATTTGCAATTGCTTAAATTGCAATTACTACTGCGATGGTCATATCTTCCTTTAAAAAAGAGAATGCATTATTTTCGAGCGAACATGTGCGCGAAAGTTCCAAGGCAGAATCAATCTCGAAACGATTTAACTTGAAGGTATTGTGAGGTAACTAATATATAGATTTAGCCAGGGCTAAAAGCGAGGCTCCCATCGGTAAATTTATAATTTAAATTAAACAATAAACTTGTATTCGAATTCCACAATTCAGTTAACTTTAGAGCACATTTATGTGACTTTTGAGGGAAAGGCTACCTGATTTTAGAGAAAAATAATTTGCAAACAGCCCAAGAGTGAACCAAATCTTACATCGAGTTGATAGCCTCATATGTACACTCAAAAACTGGTAATCATCTTTTATCACATTTAAGAGACGTAATGGCTATTGATCACCGTAGATCAATTAGGCTTAGAAAAAAAATCAGGCCAACGTTTTGGCGTTCGACAAGTTTACTTTGCAAAATCTTGCCAACAAATCTGGGCGCGTGTAAACCAACCTTTTATACCATGGACAGAAAGCAGTATTTCACAATACAAATTGCTCTCATTCAATATTCATAAACTGTTAAAAAAATTTTCCAAAATCACCTATACGGCCATCCGGTTCTCACTTTTGTAGTGCGAGCTGTAGCGAGTGTTTGAATGAACATTAACAGAGTTACGCTCCAAGATAATAAAGAATTTATCATGTTTATTTTTTATTTGATGGTTTAACGCGCGGCATTTTGAGAACTCCTGCAAGCGATGTTCACTGAACGACTGAAAACAATCGGCATAGCGATTAAAATTGCAAGAGAGACTACTAACAATCAATAAAAGAAATATAATTCGGTGAAACATAAACAGAGACAACAATTTTCATTCAGGAAGACAAGTATTAAAGTGTCCCTAAATATCCTGAGTCTTCAAGCTTCAAGCTTAAGTTTGCTGAAGTTTATGTTTTAAGCCAGCTTCCCGGTGTTTGTTTTTTCAAAGACGAACTCGAGGCAAGAAAATCGCTCAAAGCTTTCTTTTCCGGCCAGAATTATAACTAAAGATTCTTTGGAACATTTTCTTTCTATTTGCGGTGAGAAACTGTCTAAAGGCTTTTTAAAGTTCTGTAAGATTATATCAAACCAGATACTCGGTGAGATCGTTGTCTCAAATCTTACAAACGCGCATAAACTAAATTCCCGCATAAACTACGCTCCACTTCATTAAATTAGATACAAAAAACAAACATGAAATACAATAACTTCTCTGGCTTACCATTCGAGATGCAGCTCCTGAAAGTTATCAGATAAAGCCAGTATCGCTTCAGACTTTGCAATCCTCTTACGCATCAAGCATGGTAAAAACGAAAACGATGCCATCCGAAATCGGATTTCCGACTTTGACAAGCGACGTTTTCTCAACCAAAAACCCAATAAACAAACTAGCCATGAGTAACAGAAGACTCCTGATAGCAGTTGAATTTCATTTTGTACATCCAGTGGAAAAAGACAGTTAAAAACATCACAAGTTGACACAAAACTCTGTCAGCTTCAGCTGTTAAAGTAAACAAGATTCAAGATGCTGCATAAATTTTGCGCATGAACTCACCTGTCAAATTTTGACCAATCAGAGCATAAAAATTGGACGTAGAGCGTGACCAACGCGTGACCATTGTGAGAAAAAACAAAAGCAACTGTCTTCCCTGCCTGTAACAGCTGGCTGAATTTTCACGTCCGAGGTCAGTTTGCAATCAAAATTTTAATTGTGCAGCACATAAACACAACATATTTCATATGAATTAAGAAAAAAATTGAACTTGAGCCTGCGATCACTTGAAAACTAGTTTACTTGTCAGCGGATAACTGCAAAAAATACTTGACCTCGACGGGTCGACACCTGAGCCCGCGATACGGTCAAGTGATACTGGTCAGCGGGTACTCTGTTTTGACAGCTGTCAATTGATCAAAACATTGATGTCCAATATGTCTGCATTATCAGTTTTCCTGTGCTCCCAAACTAGTAAAAGTATGAGATTGAACGTTGTTCGCGATCTAGTAAAACAGTTAACTGGTCAGCGGACAGCTTCCAAATAAATCACGTCACCTCGATGAGTTGACACATGAGCCCGCGATATGGTCATGGGATACTGGTCAGTGGCTATCCTGTTTGGACAGCTGTCAATTGACCATATTGTTAATGTCCTATATTAAAGATGTGGACTTGCCAAGACACGCCTGAGACACCCCTCCCTACCTTTTGATAGTCTCCCCTACCCCACCCATACAATCTGTAGACGCGTACGTACGTACGCTCGGTCAATCACGTGACAACCAAACGAAAAGAGGTTGACCATATTCCATGGGTATGGGGCTCTGTCCCACGCGCGCTTCGCGCGCGCGGGAGCCCCGCTATTATGACGTAAACAAACTGAACAGCGCGCGTATAGGTAAAATCTTTGCTCGTTGGCCCTTAGCGTTAGCTATAACTAGTATAAGTTTGGGAGACGACTGGGGACACCGTGTAATTGAGAAAAAAAACTAAGACTACATCATTTTTAAAAAAGGCTGATTTCTTTTATTTTGAAGGTCACTATTGCGTTTCTTGTTCGGTGTTTTTGTGCCATGATGGCAAAAAATGATTTTGCTGTTTGGCTGCAAAGGGTCCATTTAATATGAGTATTAAATTCACGCTACTGTTTTGTAATGTTTGCTCTCAAAAAAAGAAAAAAATTCTCTTCACTTAATTTAAGGAGAAACAACAGACTTTCACGTTAAATGTTGGGAGACGATATAAATGTTTTGCATTCTATACACCTTTGGATTAGTTATCTAGCATTTTAGCTAGATTTCTTTTATAGATTTATATGTTTTGTTCTCTTTTGTTTCTTAGATACATAAAAATTTGTGCGATGGCTGGCTTTTGAGCAGACTCCATAAAAACAAACCTTCATGGAAAGCAATGTTTGATCGAGTTAGCAGAGAAAATCCCAGGTATAATTTTCTGACATCACGTAAATAAAATAGATGCAAAATAAAAGGTGCTGTGCTTAAACAAGAAGTTGAGCGAGGTTCATCTCTAAGCTTACGAGCGACCTGTCATGCATTGCCCCTATTTTATTTGCGGACGTAAATTTTTCGCACGTACATACGCAAAATTACGCGACTCTGGAAATCAACCCTTAGGGAGAGAACAGAATTTCATCTGCTAACAACTCATAGAGCCTTATGTGACACCCGCTGGCCGAGCTATTTAACTCTGGAGAGAAGCCAAACTACCAGAGATCTACTCTAAAGTGCTATACCGCAACTAGTCATGCCTCTTGAAACAGGAACTTTTCAAGTTTCAGCCTCCGAGTTATTCAACAGTCTGCTGCCAAATGACATCAAACTTGAGACTAATGCTAAAACATTATTTTGTGAGTAAATTTTTTTAATTCCGGCCGAATCCCGGTTAGATTATTATTTTTGACTTATATATGTTCGTTTGACTTATCGCTTTTAAGACTTACTAATATAAATTTTATATACCTACATGTACTTTCATTTTCTATCCATATTTCAAATGTATATATGCCATTAGTTAGATAGCCTTGCAATGAATGTAGAGCTACTCCGTCCGTAGAAAAAACATCATTAAACCGTTATTATTATCATTACCTTATCATAATTATTACTATTATTATATTATTATTTTTATTATTATTATGAAGATTGGTAACATGACTTCTTTTATAATTCTAAGCAGGAGCCCTGTTCTAAGTCAACTGATAGCTAAGTTGGGTTTTCACTTTTTTATTGCTGCGGAGCGACCGAAGGGAGCGAGCAGCAACATAATCAGGATTTAAAGGAAATATATAAGGGACGACGAATTCTCGAATTCATCACTTTTTACCACAATGCATTGCATTTAACCACACTTTTAACCACAATGCATTGCATTTAACCAGAGTGCATTGCGTCACGAACAACTCAAATAAAAACACGGGGAAGTTCGGTGAGTGAGAGAGTGCATCGTTCGCTGCTCAGACTTAGAGTTTTCTTTGTGGCAAATTTTCTACAGCACGGTTAGAGGTCTTACCAAATTTTAAGACACGCAGGAGTCTTTCAGATGAGTACGATCGTTAACTTGGGGATTGGATTTCAATTCAAGAGCCTTTGACTCGTCCAGGTGTTAAACCTGACTAGAAGATGAGCATTTGCTCTTCGACTCCGCAACACGGGGGATATACAAATTCCAGCTTGCTAGAAGGTGATGTGAAAGTGAGAAAATGTCATGCAGTGCTATTCTTAAGAAACTGTATGAGGCGAAAATGGATGTGATTTTGACCATTCGCTTCAAAATAACAGCGGAAATCGAGACAACAAAACATATGTTTTGTGTCCAACTTTGCAGACGAGGACGTGTATCGGCGTTTTGAAAAGCATAATTATGTTCTTTCATTCATGAAATGCGTTCACATTGTTTTTTCACTGTTAATAGCTCGGTTAATGCGGCTGGCGATCATCTTGTCGGCGGAAGTTTCATGGAAAAGGAATAAATCAAGACTCAAAGGAATAAATCAAGGTGTAGTGGTTAGGTGTAGTCGCGTCGAGCCGAAGGTTCAGGATTCGAGTCCTGCCGAATTCTATATTCCCCATTTCTTTTTTTTTTTCCGTTTTTTCTGTTGTTGTTTTCTATAAATATATAGCTAAATAACTGTTACTTAATAAAGTGCAACAAACAGCAAGAAAAGTATTGTGTTTCCAGAGAAAATATCGTGCACAGTATATTAAATATATGGATAAACAATCTGAATTTCTATTATTTCCTACAATTTCCTGTGGGAAAACCAGAGTTATAACCACTTGATCATTTTCTAAACAACGTTCCCACGAGTTCTTTCTATAGACTGATAGTAATTATTCTAGTACTTAATTCCAACATGTAAATAGGACATTCAACATCATTTTCGATTCTTTTAGTCTCACTGCCTAACTAATGCCAGTATCAACAGAATGTGCCGCAGCATTACTATCTTTTAGATACCCTAGTTATTACTAATATTGCCGTTAACAATCTTCCTTTTTACTCTCGTTTTAGAACCAAAGTTGGCGTTTTTTATTGCGGCAGTGAAAAAGTCACCCCGATGTTAAAAAAGACTTGTCGGAGGTTCTACCCAACGGGGACAAGATTCATTTTTAATAGAGAAATTCTTACGTAAAAATGTAAAAACTTTCCGCACAAAGAAGAGATTAAAAGTCAGGTAATAACTAAAGATCGCTTGAAGACCGAGACAAGATCGCACAAGACCGAGATCTGCTTATCACTGTAGAGTCACGTGATTCATCACATTTTATCATGTGATCCGTACGACCTCGCGCGCAATTTCGTTGGAAAACCATATGAAAAAAGAGTTCCGATGGCCGTAAGCGTGAAATGATAGGGCCGGAAAAACGCGTAAGGCCCTGCTAGAAAAGCGCGCGCGAAACGAGGCAAATGCTGCCATGAACGCTTTTTCGCTCTGTCAGAAAAATAACACAACGGTCATATGATAAAATATGCTTATTGACTGATTTAGGTCGGGCCGGACGGGAAAACATTTGACTTTCGGTCAGGACCAGCCAATATTTTCCCGTCCGGTCCTCCCACTCAGTCAAAAAGTACATAGTTTAACACTACCTCACATTGCTTGCACTGTTGGAGATAACAAGACAAGGTTTAAAATAAAAATTCGGAAGAATTTATCAAGTGCGAGCTAAGTCAAGCTGTGACAAAACTCTTCGCTATTTTCTTTTACGATATGTTACATCCAGTAACTACTGTAATTGAATAGAATTGATGTGTTTTCATTCCTCGTTGATATCCCTTCTTTATTTATTTTATGGTGAATGGAACCTTATTTCATTTTTACTTCCATCATATGAGTCATGTGTTTCTTGCCCATTATGGCTTCCAACGCTTCCCTCTGATGCTTGTGTTTGAAGTAGAGTGTACCTTGAACCACTGAGACTTGAAATAACTAAGAAGGACTTTGTAATTTCACCTGAAATTCTTCGCACTGACGGTGCTTTCTCGCTCTTCTTGGCTTTTTTCACCTTGGAAGAAACTTCCGCCTCGACGTTCTTAGCCTTTTTCTTTATTTTTTGCCTTTATAACTTGCGTCTTTTTGAAGTTGTTGTTATGTCAAGAAGTTTTAGGTTTTCCTGTAATTTATCCTCTCTTTTTAAGATGTTTTCAAACCCATTCGACCGGTTTATTGGTGGCAATTTAAGCGCTTCCAGTTGTCCACGAAACTCGCGAATTTCTTTTTCAAAATCCAGCGGTATGATTGTTGGCATAATTGTTTTTTTTTATCTTATGCATCACCAACATTTTCAGTTAACCGTACACAAAATTGAGCTTAAAAGTTTTAACTTTTATCTGCAAAGCTGATGGGGACATAAAAGTTTAATTTATTTTCGTACGTGTAGCTTTTAGTAACAAATGAAGTTATCTCCTAGTGGGAATAAGCAAGCCGCTGATTTGTTTTTGTAAAATTAATCATTAACAGCAAATATAGATATGTCTAGTTTTTCACACGTACTAGCAATTTACATCTTAAAATTGGATTAACTATAATAAGAAACACCTGTGTGATAGCTGGGCCTCACCGCTCGGACGAAACGTTGTGGGTCACGTGGTTGGAATGAGAGTGACTTGCCGTTACCGGGCCGTAGGTGGAGAAGAAAACGCGAGAGGATTTTGAAGCAAATTACCAATTAACGAATGTGTAGAAATGATGCCAGAAGTGGAACCAGGTTTAAATAAAGCCAAAATAAAGGTAGACGTAACTTTGCTTGTATGCGTTGACTTTGCCAGTTTATTTTGTGGCCTGGGGAAGAAAAATTGCGGCCAACGGGGAGATCTGTTTTGAAGGGAAATGTTCCATAAATCTGTCAGGCCCAGGCCTACAGGTTTCGTCGATGTATTTGATGAAATTAACCTCGTTTTCGCTGATACACGGACACTTATACTGGACCGTATGATTGCACTCTAGAGCAAAACGGTAGCACATACATCACTTCCATCGTTTAACAATACAAATGGCTTTTGCTGGGAAGAAAGGTTGTTGAGATCCAGAAATTTTGCTACTATGGTAACATGAGCTCACACTCTCCTCTCTTATTAAGGCTGTGCTCTAAGAAAAATTGAAGGGGGCCCAGTGCATCCACCGCATCCAGCATAATACGTGTGGTCTTTTGGGTCATTTTCGGAAGTCTTCGATTCTGCAGTGTAGTGCAGTGCTCCCAAGCAGGAATTTATTGTTTTGTTTGAACAGAAATGAAGAGTTTTGTTGTGTTCTCTATAATACTATACATGTCACATCAAAATGTGCATGTCACGGCTTTGTTACATGATCAAAATTGTTACAATCGATAAAAATCATTGGTTTATAATAAATCAGTTGTTACTGGAAATCAATCAGAGTCACAAATGAGGATTGTGACTATCAATTTTCATTGATTGCTATCAGTTTCAATCAATGGTTGTGGTTTTGAAGATTTATGTTAATTGACACTCCATCTTTACATGCCTTCCCTTACATGTAGTACTATCATTCAATCACTGCCTTTTCACTATGGTTAGCTTAAACTGATGCCTAAACAATTTTTTCTGTTGAACGTAAATCTCCAGAAAATGTAGGTACCGTTTCTTCTGAAAAATGCAGCGAACTTCGTGGGACTCACTAAAACTTGATTCTTGACTGTGTAAGTTCTCTAAAACATTTGCAGATTGTTTTAATCAGCCCCCTATTCAGCTTTTCTGTTTAATTCCCATGTTCACAGACCAGGCTATTTTATGTTCCTCTTCTCCGATGATGACTCATAACCTCAGAAATTGTTATATTTTGCATACCGATTGAAACTGGTAAAAATCTGTAGAAAATCGATAGACTGAGAAGAAGAAAAGGTACACTGCTGCAATTGCAGTGTAGGAAAAACTTTGCTTCTCAATTAAGGTAAACTGCTTTTCTATATCAATTTTGTCTCTCAACAAGGCTTAGAGTTTTTTTAACTTTTAACAAGGCTTTGAGTTTCGTTTTTGGTTCAATCCAAAGTCCTTACACAGCTTGCTTTGGGATGTATTAATTATTTCCGAAAATGACCCAAATGTGGCTTTGTAATCCAGCTAAAAGGCTCTATTTTTTTCGTTGTCGCTCGCTCTCTTTAAAGGAGTCATGTCACGAATATTTTGCTGTTTTACAGTGTAGGTCAATTCTGTGCTTAATTCACAACTTATTGCTTTTACTCATACAGAAAATGCTTTTGTACAGTTAAGCAAGCACTAACTACAATAACTTTTGGGTGATTTTTGCTTCAAACCATGTCCATCTTTCCATTCGTAGCAGCAGACGACAGGAACTAAACAGTTTCAGTGCCTATTGTCTTCAATAACAAAACTGGACCATTATTTTTAAGTTCAATTGATGTAATTAATTTTTTAGCTTTGAAAAAGATAGCAAAGACCGTGACATAACCACTTTAAACAGGTGAACCGTCATTTATCAGAGTCAAACGTGTCATTAATTTTGTTTGTCAACGTCGCTCAAGTTCTTGTAAGTTACAGCGTGCTGTCTACCAACAGGAAGGCAACAAGGCCAACATTTTGTTCTTTATTGTCGACAGACCCAAATTCATGATTTGAAACAAGCTCAAAACCCATCTTCAATACAACTACGGTCAACATTGCTGGATCCTGCGGTGAATTTGTTGTTTCAACGAATGAAAACAGACTTGGAGCCTGAAAAGGAGAAATTGGAACACTGAGCTCAGAATGACCTCAGTGCTTGGAAGTTTACACCCGACAGGTGATGCTGCTGATTTTTTAGTGCAACCTTGAATGACTTACTGACAACAGTACTGACCTCTTACGTTCTGTTCACACGAAGTCTTTTCTGTGCCAAATGGATCAGATATGATACCGAAATGGACCGCTTCTGTTCACACGGGACCGGTCTTTTTATGAGCATTTTGTTTACACGGAACCTTTCTGCTGTTGTCCGCTTTTGGAGGCTCAGGTGGAAACAAGAACCGGTCCTCGACGACATCGGATTGTTTACACGTACAAAAAGGCAGAGTACTTAATAGGAGCCCTGCGTACTTGTACAAGACCGTTTACACGTTATTGTTGTTGTCTTTTTTCTCCTTTTGAGATCAGCACCCCAAAAATGTTGTAGACCTGTACCGAAGAGTGGACAAGCATTTACACATTAAAAAAAGGAAACAAAAATGCGCTACGGAACCGATTGTATTCGGATGAAAAGTCCCGTTTACGCGAGCGAAACGGAACGTCACGGCTCCAACAAAAACGATACGTTTGAATCTACATTGTAGTCTCCCACGCAGCCGTTTTTGTCTCGTCGCGCAACGCTCCTCCTTAAGAAATCGCTTCTTACATTCGAGCTGTTGGGGAGGAGCATTGCGTGACGAGACAAAAACGGCTGCGAAGGAGACAAGTTTGAATGTTACCCGTTTCGTTCCTAGAAAAGTCCTCTAAGATCGGTTCCGTACGTGCAGTTTTCTTTTCTTTTCTTTCCAACGTGTAAATGCTCGCCCTTTTTAAGGTACCGATCTTTAGGTACGTGGGGTCTGGAAAAATAACAACAACAACGACGTGTAAACGGTCTTGTACCCGTTCCCCAGGGATTTTACGTACCTTGGCTGAGTTTTCTCGGGTGTAATCACTGACAAAACCTGCAGGTGTAAAACCAACCAGTATTCATTGAGAACCGGCCCTTGTTTCTACCGGAGCCGTTCCGTCTCTTATGAACCTTTTTTATTTGCACCAGTTAAGATAAAATTGGACGGTGTGTGATTGCCAGTTAAGAATGAGGAATTACGGTCGTTTCACCCACTTCTTTGTTTTACTGGTACTCAGTTCGCGGAGAAAACGTTTTAAAAACTGGTTTTGTGTGAATTGTGTTTTACAGTGTAACCGGTAAGAAACTGATGGCGAAATGCCGCATGTTGATCCAGGAAAATCAGGAGCTCGGTCGTCAGTTGTCGCAAGGACGAGTCGCTCAACTGGAAGCTGAACTTGCTCTTCAGAAAAAATACAGCGATGAACTGAAAGGCAGTCAAGATGGTAAGCTGACAATACTGCGAAGCTAGCTACTGTTCTAAATTGAGTTAACAAGAATGAGAGTGAATTGTTTTCTGACTGGTACACTTCTAGGGTCTGGGTCAAAGACGTGGCTTTTTAAGTTAATTCTGTTTGTTTTAGGGAGTAACAAGCTCTTACTTAGATCACGGCTTTGTGACGTGCATTATAACCAAATCACAATTACATGGAAACTCTTGTTAGTTTAACTTCAGGGGCGACAGTTTCAAGTTTACCTGATTCCGCTCAACTATGCATTCGTTTGACGTCTTTGTATTGCTATGTTAAAGTCAACTTGTTCCGTGGCCGGTGGGCAAGTTCTGAATGAACACGGCGCTACTTTATTTATGTCTGTCTTGGGTAACTTGCAATCGCCGACAAAATTGTTGAGACTATCCTCAAATGGGGTACTTTGGAAAGTAAGACATCTGCACCTCTCCACTCCCCCCTCCATTTCAAGTTGTCAGTGGTGTTTGTTGTTTGTTACTGGTAGCTGGTAGCTGGTACAGAGGCCTAACAGTGCTTGGAGGGGGTGGGGTAAGGAAAGATTCATTCCCCCTTCCCCTTCCCCTTCCCCTTCGAACGCCTGCCACGCTGGCTACTTTTTAAGTGCAAAACGTCACAAAGGGTCTTTATGGCAAAGTGTCTTAACTGTTCTTTCCCCGATTGTAGCCTGCAAGCAAGCTCTACGACTGAAAATCGCGAGAGTCGTGCTTGCTCGCAGACTAGCGGTAACCAAGGTTTCTTACAGATTTGTTGATGCCTGGGACCTTTTTTTACTCTTCAAGATGTGATATGCAGTTTATTTTAGTGAGTGAGCATATGGAGTTGTTAACACGTGTGTGTAGAGTCTCGATTGTCCTGAAAATAGAGGTTTGGAGTGACGGTACTAAGCACAGTTGAGCAGAAGTCGTACCAATGATGGTATGAACAACAAAATGGTCGCTGGCTATTCCTTTGGTATCTACATGTATCTGGTATTGATTCCTGTGTAAAATTACTAAAATTAAAATTTCTGATTGTTAAAATTTAAGTTACTATCCCGTTTATTTATTATCCCGTTTTAGAGTTGAACGACTTCGTTATCCAACTAGATGAGGAAGTTGAAGGCATGCAGTCAACCATCTTAACGCTTCAGCATCAACTCAAAGACTGCAAACAGCAATTGACTCAATCACAAGAGAAATTGCTTGTTTATGAAGACAAACTAAAGACAAGTGAAGGTTTGCTTGCTGAAATGCGCCAGCAAAATTCACCGGTCAGTCTAAAGTCCGAGGAACAAGAGGAGCATGCGCCATCGCAAGCGCAATTGCAGCAAGCGAAAACGGAAGTATGGACCAGCGGTGTTGAATCTGCGACAGGCGGCGAGGAAGGCGATAGGACATCCCACGCCTCGCAAAGCGAAGAGAGCGTTGAGGAAGAAAGGATACTGCTTAGCGCTCCCGTCCCCGTTCCGGTTACTAGTACTGTTCCCACTAAACCTGTAGCGAGCGCGCCTCCGGCATTCTCTATCAGCCAGTTGCTCTCATCCGACTCGAACCTTGGGAAGGAGAAAAAAGAGGAAAACTCTTTAGAAAACGGCAGTAGTGAACACAAAATCCCACCGGCGTTAGAACCTTGTGCTGAAATAACCGAATCCCCTCTTATCGCGGCCATGGGTGTGGTGGAGAGAATCGGCTGTGATTCGAACACTTACAATGGGGAGGTGACGGGTTCAAGCAGCGCTTTCATGAACCTTACCCCACCCTACACTCTTTATCATCTTCCCCCCCGCAGCCATTATCCGTTGTGCAATTTTGGATACGGTTAATCTACTTGCACGCTCGAGTGCGTAGAGGAAGCAGTGCTTTCTTATAGGACGTTTTGGATGTCTTAAATTATCAATAAAGTACCTTTTTGTTTTCACAGTATTATTTGTTTTAATTTCTCAATAGACCGTTAGGAGAAAGTCAAGTCTCCCCTCTAGCGTTCCCGAAACAATTAGAACCCAGTAAAAACTCAAAACAATCGAGAGGAGAAACACGTTTACTCCGCAGGGAAAGGTGTCAAGAATAGCGCCTGGTGCTGCTGGTCTAGACGATGCGTGGGCCGCCGGCTGCACGTAACATTTGCATTTTTAAAACAGTGTTTTTGAGAAATTGTAAATGCCGAGACTAGGAATGTGTTCGAATAACTTGAACTACTTGCAAAATAAGACATCACTTCTTTACCACATTCGACGCACGTGTAAGAAATGTAAAATGTGTTCATAAAAAAAAAATGAAAAGTTGACCGACTTTAGTTCCATTGCGTCATGCCCGATTTTATGCACCAAAAGAAGAAGTTTTCGTGACGTGCTGTCAATTAGCCTGCAAGGGAGGCGTATTTTGCTGCGCGAACGATGATACTATTTTCGGGACTAATACTCTCCCAACATCTTGGACGTTGACTCTGACAGCGATTTGGGGCGAGTCCAAAAATAATTTCGAGGGAAAGGTCAACACCCGTTTGCTGTCCAAACTATAAAACCGACAGTAAGAGTGCGTTTTTCTGGGAGAATCCAAAAACTGATTTGTGATGTCAGATCATACGGATTCTTCACCACCAAAAAAATGGAAGATCCGAGAAAGGACCATTTACCATGACAACGGCATGTCCTCGTACTCCTCGTGGGAAAAAAAAAACAACAACAAACTGATCCTCACGGTGAAGACAAGAAGAAAGAGCAACATGAGCTACAAATGAATATACGAAATGGATATATTTTGGTTTGAAACACAAACGTTTCTCGAATAGAACACACTCCTTAGGATAGTAAAATTATGAGAATTTAAAACTGAAGCCGATAATGTGTTTTTTTTTAATTACTTGGAAATAAACCGGCGTAAGCAGACATTACATACCTACCAAAAACATGACCAGTAAGGGTTTAAAAACAGTCTACCAATAATTCGAATAGACAACAAATATGGAATATGTAACTAATGGCTCAAAGTTAATAGGGCCCCACAACATAGGTTCAGTGAGAATGCGATAGATATACGGCATCTGATGCGTACAATTTTTTTTTCGAAAAACCGCTTGTCAAAAATACTTTTTTCAAATCCTTTCCCAAAAAACGCTCAGATTGTGAATCTCAAAAATCCGGATTTGTATTTGATCCGAAGCTCAGGGTGGATTTTATGGATTCATGATCCGTTTTTGGATTTACCCAAAAAACGTGAAATCCGTTTTTGGATTCGGAAATCCGGATTTGGATTTTCCCAAAAGTACGCACCCTAAGTGTAGAAATTTTTATTTAAGTGTTCATGTAGTTGTGGAACTGAGTACTAACATAATGCGAGGGAACTGGGGATTTCGGTGGTGGCCAAAAAATGCGCTATTATGGCAGATTTCGAGAAATCAAAATCTGGTAGGGATGGACCAGGCCAGCAGCCGAATATCGGCTCCTGACCAGGCCGTAGATACCTTGCGTAACACTGTTTCAATTCCAGAGGGACACGTTTGGTCTATGGCTTGAGCATGGTTCTAAAAAGAAATCACGAAAGGGTTCAAACTGTCCACAAATGCGACTGTTTACACTGTACAAGAATATCCATTTACGATCAGTCGCGTGTGGACGGACGCTATGAGGAAGCTTTTAAGCAAGGGCGTTTTGAGTGACGCACGTCAACCGGAAGTGAGATTTATTTTCTTTAACATGCATTGGCGCTGCCAAGTTTGAAATGCCAAGGGCGTTTTCTCTCATACAGACGATTTGTCCAAAATTTTAAGCAAATCCACTGCCCAAGAATGCAAAAGGTGTACTTCCGGTTGACTTGCGTCGCTCAGAAGCTTGTCTACTGTGAACTCCTGAACAGACTATTAAATGCGGGCGTAGCCTCAGGTTAATTTATGCTGTAAGCTTACGGGTTTTGTTATTTATTCATTTCTTTTTTTGGAATTTGGTAAACGAATTATTGCACTGGCAACACGCGATATATTTAAAAAAGACCTTAGAGTGCACGTGTACTCGGCTGACGCTATAACAGGAGGAAAGGGTAGCGAAACTACATAGTGAATAAGTGTGACTTTGACATGGAGCCTACACTGCGAACAGAGTCTCCTTTGATCCTCAGGAAGCAAAGATGTTTTTTCTTTTATTTCTTTTCTTTTCTTTTTTTTAAAAAAAAGGATCCACTTTGGTTGCATCTTAAAGTCCTAGTTCTGAATAGATTTTTAGCTGGACTGATAAAAGTACATTTTATATTTTATAGCACTCAAAATTACCACAATTCTTTCTGAAAAAAAAAAGTTAAATAAACTACTAGCTACTAAGCTGGTAGCCAGGGTGAGAATTGACGATAAACTAAAAGGGAAAAAACCATCCCTAATCGACGATGCCTTCAGGACCTCTGTCGAGGAAGTGTATTATTTATTCAGGTTAAAGTTAATACAACATTACTAAGCTATGGGTGCACTGTAAAATCAAAAACCTGATCACTGTGCTACGCAACACGCTGGAATTAAGCCTAAGTAGTTAAAAGCAGTTACGTCCTAATGTGACGTGATATGAATACCCTAGGCTATGCTTTTAATCTACAGCCTGGAAAAACTCGATAGTACAGGAAACAAAACACCCGTCCGATTTTAAAGCAGTCATAGTTTTGACGATTGTCGTTGTTTCTTAGTACCAAACCACAGCACGTTGTGGATTAGCGATCTGAAACTAATCTGTTTGATAACTTAGTAAAACAACAATTACAATTGGCATTAAATTAATGGCACGACAAAGGTATTGCAACTATTCTGAACCACAGCTCTGATACATGGGTTATCAACAATTAAAAATCATACTGCACTCACGTCGTAGTACACGACGAATAATTTGCGCTCGATTTACTGACTCACTAAATAATCTATGGCGGCTTCCCACTAGTGAATAATTGTTTGGAAACGCCTACCTTTAATGCGTTTGGCTTTTCGTCCACATTAAAACGATAAAAAAAGCCGATGTTTTCATAAAACGGCCTCAAAGGTGGAGACTTTTCAAAATGGAGGTCGACGGCTGTGTAAGTATAAGGAGTAAAAACAGAGGTTTACGAATGCGCTGACTTCACAGCTCAACACGCCCTTTAGAATACCCTGGGAGCGAAACCATTTGTCTCCAGATATGTGTTTTGCCTAGTTAAGTATTGTCTGTAGAAAACGAAACTTAAACGCAAGTATGGACACCCATAGTTTCGTTGCCGTTTTCGTGATCGCCAAAACCGGAGGCGTTTTGATCAGTTTTGATAACACATTGGTGTGGGCATGGCCTTAAAAAGTTATGCCGCGTGTTCAGTGCATATTTAACGCTGTTGGTGAGAGTCTTAAAAAGAAAAAAAAATCTTGTTTTCAGATACCCTCCATCCTTAGTTTGGACTGACTATCTTAGCTTATCTTATGCTTTCCAATAAAACGTTACAAAGACAAACATTAATCTAAAGTCAAAAATTGAACAAACTGACTGAGCAAAACCCGAAAGTTGGAGTATCCAGACAGACAGATGTCCAAGTGAAAAACGACGGATCGAATCGAAACTTACCATTCGATCTTAGAGTCTTCTAGAACAATAGTATTTTGGTGTTATTGACTGACGACCAATAACATCACGACTTTAATTTGCTGACAAACCAGGGCCAGAGTTTGACAATATACAATTCACTTTGATGCTCAGTCACTGTCATCAATAGTCCTTTTCACGACTACACTCTCTTATTCATCTACTGATGATTATGATCAACATGACTCTTGCATTGGGGTCAAACGATTATTGACGATATATAACAAAATGTTAACAAAAACATCGGTCCATGTGAGGGAATCCGGATTCTGGAATCCGTGAAATTTTTGCTTGTGGAATCTGGAATCCTCAGGGCTTTGTAATGCGGAATACAGCTCAACGAATCCAGAATCCCACTAAGGATTGGAATCCAATCGAAGGTTCCACTAGAAAAAACTGGAATCAAGTGCCTGAAATCAGGAATCCACGGCGTGGAATCCAGAATCCAAGACTGTCTTTGATTCCCTTACATGAGACGAAAAGCAGCGCATGTCAGAAACTACTATTTACGTATTTATCAAATGCTGCTTCGTTCCATCAGTCTTAAGTTGTTGTGGTTACACTAAACCTTTTTTTTAAAGTTAAAAAAGGCTTTTACGGTCTCATATTCTACTGTTATTAAATATTAATTAAAATAGGCCATTTACACGATCTGCTGATTTTACTACTTGAATCAGAATCCTTTTTGTTTGTTTTCCATTTCATACTTAATCTTGGTAATCCTAGCGAGGTTTAAACAACAAAAGCCCTAATTCGCACAACAGGGCAAAACCCTGAAGGATTCTAGCCGTAGTAGCAAAATGACGTTATTGTGAAAATGGCCTATCGATAGTAAAATTTCCGCTGGCCAAAAAATGTGTTCTTGTAATCCCACAGTCTCTTGAACGGGAAGCCTTTTTTGTATGTATAAACACAGACACTCTTTCCGAAGGTTTTTGACATCACATATCAGCCTTCTCTGTAACTGAAGAAAATAACATATACTGCATTAATACACTTCCGAAAAATAACGCCTTCAATTAGTGCACGATGTCAAGGACGCGATGAATTTGAAACTTGACAGCAAAATAAGGCAAAGTTTGAACACTTATATATTAACCGAGAAGATTTTCATGGTGTCTTTTTTATTAAGTCATTCAACTGATAAATCATTTTATTTCCCATTCTCGATAAAATAAAATAGGAGCCTTGTACAGAGTAAAATGAAACTTTGACTGGAGCTCATAGCAAAACCTTTAGCTTCCATACAGCTGTCCAAAGTTGTATAAGTAATATCATTATTGAAAACAGCTGACCTCCAAATCTACCAACCAAAAAGCGAAGACGTTAATCATTAATTATCATCTTCTATGAACATCGTCGCTAAATAGGTTGATAAGTATCTGATCCGGTCACTTTGCATGACATTCGGCATTTTCACTGCCCCGAAAATCCAATCCAACCTTTTCAAATGCAGTGTTTAAGTCCTAGGCTCATACATCTTCGCAAGGGGTTTTAGGAGAACTTATAAACGGAGGGGCTCATATTAGCCTGAGTATCAGGCCTTCCTAAGGGGCTAGGCTAGCTCTCTCACTTTTTCGCTTCTATCTTTCCCCTTTTCCCCCAGAAACGCCTGATACTCAGGCTAGGCTCATATGCGACGGGGATTATCACCAGAATAGAAAAAGCGCTTCGAAATATGTTATAGCAGCGTTGATCAAAGTACGTTTTGCAGTTACTGGTTTTAATTAAGCTTCAAAACGCCATAATAAATCGCATAAATCGAATCAATTTCAATACATTTCGAGGGGGCTTATAATCGGATGTATTGTTTTGTTTACAGGTAGATGGTCCTACAACTCGGGGTCGTTGGGCGAGGGGGGGGGGAGAGTTATAAGTGGCAGTTTACGGTTTTTGCATTGAGGCTCCCTATTTAAATTTGTCCAAAAAGACTTTCACTGTTATGCAATTTTCTATGTAACTGGCATTTGTGAAATATTGGAGCTATATTCTCTCGCTGATGCCTTGAATTGTCCATCTTTGACTAAATAATGGAATGTATCATAATCATATCCCTTATAATAACAAGAACATAGGCCCGAAATGCAAAGTGGGTGGTCAGATTCTTTAAGAACATTGAAGTGCGTGTTCAATGTTTTATTGATTTAATTGTTAACAGTTTGGAACGAATGGAATCGTATTGAGTGAATCCATAGCAATCGAACAGTAGCCACCCATTGCATTCTTATTTTTCAAGATTTGCACTTGTTTTCCTAGTTACAAACGAATTTGCCAATTATCTTATTTTTTTTAATAGAAGCTTTTTGATTCTTATTTTTACAACATATTTTTTGGGATTCGAGACAATGAAAATCAAAAATTTACAAAAGAAAACCTTCTTCTACTTACGACTTTCGCGGTTACTTTCATCAAATTCAATCGTAACGTCATCGCCAATCAGTACAAATGGAGCCCAGTACTTTGGAGCAGAATACTTGTCCGAGTCCCGGAGACATTTCATGGCCCTCTGAAGAGCAGAACTAGCACTTTCTCCACCCCTCAGGTGTTGGTAAAAACTTTTCATAAACTCCAGGGTTGCTTCGTCATCAATTGCCCAGAGTGTCGCCACCACGGAACGAGCACCAGCAAACAAGAAAGCCCGAGCAATACCGACCACACCCTCAGACGAGACCTCTCCTTGACCACTATGACAGCAACTAAGGACAACCAACTTGGCTCTCAGTTTAACAGCTTGTATATCAGACATTCTCAAAAATTACTCCTCCTCAGGAATCTTGGATTCCCAGCAAGGGTCTGGAGCCAAAGCAATTCCACCAGTTTCTTTACTTCCGTGCGCTGCAATGTGAACCAAAGCAACTGAATTTATTCTGCGAAGAACTTCTTTTTTGGTCGCTGCTTCTCCCGTTAGTGGTTGGCACTTGAGAATTTCTCCAATCATCTCCACTTCCTTTTTTGCGTATTCCAGTTGATCATAAATAGGACAACCCCCTCTCTTCGTAACTTTCTTCAGACATGGATCTCCAACAAGCAGGGCGCCACTTTTACAGTGGTATTTATCTGGAGAATCTATGATGAATTTCAGACTTGTCAGTGAGGGAACTGTGCGGATCCTTAAAGATTCACTTAGCGCGGCCCAAGGAGCTAAGGACAAATCGCCATCAGGGACTACAATGAGTTCATCGCCATCAAGCAAGTCTTCAATGGGACCAATGATTGCATCATACAGTGGCTTAAAACAGTCGATAGTCTCGTGCGACAGCTCCGATGTTTGATCATCCTTCTCAGTGCTGGAAGTTTGGTTAACCTTTCGCTCATCCAATGACCGATTCTCGCACCGAACATCGACGCCAGCCCTAATGTTTTTCAAGGCATTTTTTAAAAGTTCAGAAAAATAATCTTCGTGCGCACCTTCAACTTTAAGTTCTGCTTGCGTAAAAATAGCATTTCTTCCCTTCCTCAGGACCCACATATTGATTGTTCCTTCTTGAACAGCCAGAAAAACTGTCGAAACAGATATCTTCTTTAAAATGATTGTGAGTTCTTCTTCAGATTCATTTGACAGGAGCGAAAGGGATGTTAAGCCATAATTTATTTTTAACGCATCTACTAAGGCCTGTGCTCGTCCCTTCTCGGCAGCGTATAAAGCCTCATCCGTCAATTGAAGCTTTAGTAGAACCTTCCACAAACAAGTGTAGGCACCTTTACAAAGATTGCGAAAACTTATTTTCAGTACATCTTCCGAAATGAAACTGGCCCTAATAGCATCAAGGATTTCTACGCTGGTGATAAGATAAAATAAAGCTTCATTCCAACAACCTAACCCTACCAGACAACCAGCCAGCTTAAAATATGCCTGTCCTTCCATAAACTTGTTACCGACTTCCTCAGCAATGCTCAGAAATTGCCTTAAGTAATCTATTGCTTGATGAACCTCGTGGATGGAGAAATAAGACATGCCGAGGTTGCAATAGGCAATTCCTTCTTGTTCTCTTTCGTGGATTTCCTTGGCAATGCTCAGGTGTTTCTTTTGATACACTATTGCTTGTTGAAAGTTTTTGAGGGAGTATTTAACAGCGCCCAGATTGCCATAGGCAACTCCTTCTCCGGCTCTGTCACTGACGTCCTTGACAACGCTTAGGTGCTGTTTGAAATACACCGATGCTTGTTGGAAGTTTTCGAGGGATAAGTGATCTTTGCCGAGATTGCAATAGGCACATCCTTCTCCGGCCCGGTAGCCGACTTCCTGGGCAATACTTAGCTGTTTGTTGTGGTAATTTATTGCTTCTTGGAATTTGCCGAGGGAGTGATAAACATTGCCGAGATTGCCATAGGCACGTCCTTCTCCGGCCCTGTCGCCGACTTCCTGGGCAATACTCAGGTCTTTGTTGTGGTAATTTATTGCTTCTTGGAATTTGCCG